CGGGCCGCACCGCCTGCCGCGCGACGTCGTCGCCGAGTGCCTCGACGGCATCCGGCCCGGCGAGAGGCCCCGGGCGGGCGACTGGCTGGCGGTCTGGGGCGGTGAGTTGCCACGGCGTGTCCCTCGTCCCTCGTCCCTCTTTCCTCGTGGCGTCGTGCCGTGCCGTGTCGTGTTCTAATCTCCCCCGTCGCAGGGTCGGCGACTTCGGCAAACCTCGCGATCCAGCTCGCCCGGCTCATCGGGCTCAGGGTGGCCGTGGTGGTGGACAGCGCCAAACACGGCGCCTGGCTGTCCAACCACGCGGCGATCCGGCCGCATCTGCTGGTCGACAGCCACGACCCGGGGCGTGCCGTCGCCGTCCTCGCGGCAAACAGCGGCGGGCTCAGGTTCGGCATCGACACGCGCGGGCGCGAGTCGGCAACGCACTTGCTCGACGCGCTCGAGGGCACGCCCGGGGGAGGGAAGCAGCAGCCCCGGCGGCGCGGCCACCTCGTCGGTCTCGCCGGACTGCCCGAGGACCGCGGCGGCGACGTCCTGCTGCACACGGTGCCCATCAAGCTGTTCCACGAGGTCGAGTCGATAGGCGGCGCGCTCGTCGCGTGGGCGGCGAGGCTGCTGGCGGAGCAGCTGCTGGTCCCGCCGGACATCGTGGACACGGAATGCGGCCTGGGCAGAGTCAACGCGGGCCTGGACCGCATGCGCAACGGCGAGATCAGCGGCGGCAAGCTGGTGGTCAGGGTGTAGACGATGCAGCCGTCGGGCTCGGGCCAAGCAAGCGAGACTAGTGCGGTGTTTTGTTCTGTTCTGTTGTGTCCTGTCCTGTCCTGTCCTGTCCTGTCAGTTGACCCCGTGCCGCGTTTGTAGATTTTGTAGAAGGCATCAATGTCATGGTTCCGACGTTTCAAAAAGCGCCCCACGACGGGTTGCGGACAACGGCACTACAATGCAGCGTGACCACACCCCTCGCTCGTCGTCCCGGTCATCTACGACGAGGGCTGGGGCCAGCTGCCCGGCCCGCCGTGCCCCGAGGAGAGCCTGACGCGCCTCGTCGACTCCGTCACCGGCTGGAACGACCACGGCTTCGGCGACTTTTCCGTACGTCCGTCCGGGGCCCCGGCCCTCCTTGACCCCGCTGACCCCCGCAAGACAACCACCACTACGCCAACCCCTCGCAGTGCGGCACGCCCTTCTACTCGACCCCCCTCGTCGCCCCACGACCCCCGCCGCATCGACCCCCAAGGCGAGTTCGGCGGCATCGGCCACGACGTCTCGCTGAGCAGTGGGCGTCCCGTCCCCCTCCCTCTCTCCGCCCCCACCTGACCCTTAGTTGCCCGAGTGAGTACCTTTGAGTACTTGGGCATAAACCTGTCGTGTCGTGCACAAGCAAAGTCGAGGTACTTGAGCACTTACACAACATGCCAGTCCAGTCGTCCTCGTCGTCCTCGTCGCCTCTACACATACATCATCACGGCTTCACCAAAGCATCAAGGTAGTGTATGCGCAAGTACCATTATTTCTTACGCTCATTCTCTCTTCCTGTAGACGCTGCAACCTCTCTGCCTGCCCGCCACCGACGCCCACCATGTCCCGACAACATAATAGATAAAATTCCATTCGTCCCTGTCGTTTCCTCTCCCCTCTCCCTCAGTCCCCTCCCACAGCCAAGGCGTCTCGACCCCTTTCGCCTAGCATGCATCACTCGCCGCAGCACACGCCCTACTTGGCGTAACCATTCGCCTTGACCCAAGCTGCCACGTCCTCCCTGTCCCGCGACAGCCACGAAACCTTGGACCGAATGGCGTCTATGCTCTGCGCGAGCGACTGGTCGTACCCATTGTTGTTCTTGCCTTCAAAAAACTTCTCCACCCTCTCCAGCTGCTTCTGCGACGTGAATCCAGACGTCATAATGTTCACCATGGCGCTGAGCATCGGCAATGTAGGCGGCAGTTTCTCGTACAGCACCGCCCAGTTCTCCTCCATCCAGTTGTACAGCGCCTCGATTCCCTCGGCGTGGGCGCGCAGACCAACCACCGGCATGTACAAGTCTTGTGTCTTGACCTCGGGGCTCAACAGGAGCTCCAGCGTGCGCTTGATGAGCTCCGGCTGCTTGGCCCGCCCAAAGGTGCGGAGGCAGGTATTGCGCTCATCCGAGTTGTTTGTTGACAGGTAAAAGTTGAGAATCTTGTCGTACTGTTTTCGTCACTTTGAGTTAGTACTGCTCATGCACACACCGAGGCCGGTTTTGGCCTTGCGGCAGACTCTGGGGCTGCATGGGCCTTACCTCTTCGACACCGCCGTATCGCAAAGAAATGGCAAACACGCTCTTGCGGATGTTGGGGTGGATCGCCGACTTGTTACCCGCCATGAACTTGTTAAACATGTCCTTGGAGGCCTTGATGATCTTCTCGTCACCGCTGAGGCCCGCTGCCTCGAAAAGCAACGCCTTGAACTGCTGCTCAACGTGGCCGTCACTGTCGGAGAACTCCCAGCCCAGCTTGTGCGCTTTGGGGCTGATCAGGTCGCGCTGGAAGGCCTGGAGACCCTCAGTGACCTCGGTGTCCTCAAACACCCAGGCGCTCTGGATGGCTCCGAGACGTGCCACAATCTCACTCCACACAACAAACTCCTTTTCCGAGCCGAACCCTTTCAGCAGGTTGAGCACGCCAGATGTCTTCTGGTACCCCGAGGTGGCAAGGGCGCCGGCATCCGCAATCATGCCAGCGCGGTCTTCGACCGAGAGAAGGCCCTCCTTGGCCGCCCGGCCCAGCTTCTCCAGGCGGGCAGGGGAATACGACGTTCGGAAGATTCCAGTGTGGTTGGCGTTGAGCTTGAAAAAGTCCGTGTCCGGGATCTTGAAGTCCTTCTCACGCTCGGTGAGGGCAACTTGGCCGTCGACGCCGTCCCTCGTGCGAAGACCCAGGAAGACGGGGTACAAAATCTTGTCATCCTCGGGCTTCGTGTCGCCGGTTCGCAGGAACCTGTTCTGCTTGACGTGGATGGAGCTGTCGGCCTCGTTCTCGGTCACGGTCAGGACGGGGTACCCGACTTCCTTGGTCCATGCATTCATGACTTCCTGCACGGGTTTGCCACTGACTTCGCTCAGGGAAGCCCACAGGTCGCCGGTTTGCGTGTTGCCATAGGCGTGCTTCTTCAGGTACCGACGAACACCCTCGAGGAAGGTCTCCTCCCCGAGATACGTGGAAACCATTCGGAGGACGCAAGAGCCTTTGGAGTAGGAGATGGCATCGAAAATCTGGTTGATCTCGTCAGCGCGCTTGACGGGCACCTCGATGGGGTGGGAGCTGCGGAGAGAGTCGAGGGACAGAGCGGACTGCAGGTTGTCCGTGACGTAGTTTTCCCAGACCTTCCACTCGGGATAAAAGACGTTGGATGAGTACTGAAACATGTTAGCGCACAAATTCGCCATTCGAGGAGAGAATTTCCCGAGTGAGTGGCGACGCATACCCAGGAAGTCCATGTGGCGAAGCCTTCGTTCAGCCAGAGACCCTCCCACCAGTCCATGGTGACGAGGTTGCCAAACCACTGATGGGCCAGCTCGTGCTGAACAACCTCGGCCACACGCTCCTTGGTAGCCGCACTGCTGGTCTTCTCATCGAGGAGTAAATCAACCACGCGGTAGGTGACGAGACCCCAGTTCTCCATTGCGCCCTGGGCAAAGTCGGGGATAGCGACCTGGTCCATCTTGGGGAGGGGGAACTCGATGCCAAAAACCTTTTCGTAGAATTCCAGGGTTCGGACGGCAAGGTCGAGGGAAAATCGGCCCTGTTCAATATCCTGGCCCGGGGGAGCATAAACTCGGACGGGGACACGAAATTTGGTGGACTCGACGTAGTTTAGCTCCCCGACAATGAAGGCGACGAGGTAGGTGGACATGAGAGGAGAGGTGTTGAAGTGAACAGCCTTCTTGGCGGTGCCGGTCATGGTGGACTGGACATGTTCCTCCTTGGCAACATCCATGTTGCTCAAGCAAGTCAAGTTCTTGTCGGCTATGAGGGTGACGGTAAACTTGGCCTTGAGAGCAGGCTCATCGAAGCAAGGGAAGGCTCTGCGGCAGTCGGTAGCCTCCATCTGAGTGGAAGCAAGGATGCCCTCGGATCCGTCGGCGCGCTTGTAGGTGGATCGGTAGAAGCCGGCCATCTTGTCGTTGAGTTGTCCTGTGAACTTGATCTCAAGCTGGGCCTGGGAGCCCTTGGAAAGAACAGGGCTTCCAAAGTCGAACTTGGTGACCTGGGTAGGCTCATGGTAGGAGACCTTGGGGGCGGGGGTGGCAGTCTGCCCGCTGGCCGAGAGCTTGGCGCTGTGGATGTCGAGCTCGAGAGTGTTGAGGGAGATGGAGCTGGAGTCTTGGGCAACATTGAGGTCAATGACGACGGTGCCGTCAAAGGTCAGCTTGTCCAAGTCGGGCTCGAGAGTCACATGGTAATGACGGGGGATGACATTGGAAGGGAGCAGCTCGCGGCCGTGGGTGCTACCAGGAGCGGCACCACCGCCAGTCTGATCGACACCAGCTGCTTGGGCTCTGCACATGTTGTCAAGGTGTCTCCGGTAGGAGCAATGACGAAGCTGACGAGAATACCACGGGTCTGAGGCGAGACGATGTCGAAACTGGGACGAGACGAGAGATGGCGGTGGACGAGGGACTGGACGAGTGACTGGACGAGTGACTGTGGACGCGAATCTCTTATGAGGAAGGCTGAAAGGAGCAATGTAAGGTGTCAGCGGGTCATGCGATGGCTCCGAGTACGCAAGGAGAAGGTGGGAGGTAATGTCAATCATGTAGTAAGTGCAAGCAAGCGGGAGCCAAGGTGGAGCAGGGTCAATGGATGGGCGGTGGCTGCAGGTTTCGGGTGATGGAGGTGAACCTCGTCACAGCACAGCGACATGGGAGGAAACGGCGACGTGCGACGTGGGGGAAAACGAACAAGAAGCGCACCGAGGGGAGCGGTCTGCGAGCTGCGAGCTGCGAGCTTCGAGCTGCAATCCGATCCGATACCTGGACAATCCCGGTGACAGAAACGAGGGGATCTGGAAGGTGTGGCGGTGGTGGTGGGCAGCATCAACGAGCATCGAACGATTTGGATTTTGGAGTTTTGGAGGGGCCAAGGTCAAGCAAGAACGACGACGGGACGGAGCAAAAAACTGCGGAGCCAAGCTTCAAGCTTCCGATTGGCCGCACATGCGGCTTTTGAAGGCTCATCGGTTTTGCATGCAAAAGGACTCGGCAGCAGACTGCACGTGGCAACACAAAGCCAGCGGGATTTGGACAACAATGGCACGCCAGACAGCCATGGCTGACGACGGGCTTTGCGTGTCATGATTCGCGAGTGGCAACGTCGGGGCTCGGGACGGACAAGAAGCGAAGAGCGCAGACATACAGGTGGCCGCTGCCGTTGATGACGCCGTGGCCCGGGCCCGTGAACCGTCGCATCGTTGGTTCGTCGTGCAGAGTCGGCGCAGAAACGGCCCATGTTGTTCTGCGCCTTGCCGTCTGCGTGGGAATCCGCATCGAGCTCATGCGTCGGCATGCATTGCGCGCCGGCATAGCCACAATTGAGGGCCGTGCGAGGTCGAGGGCAATTGCAAGATCAAACGGAAGGCAAGGTCAAAAGAAAGGAGGAGAAAAGGAGGCAGACAAATATGTGCAAACAATGAGAACATGAAAGAATGACCAGGTCGTCCTTGACGGAGAAGAAAAAGGAGGCCGTGAGAAGCCAGTGACTGCTGACTGGTGACTGCTGCCTCGACACCCTCGACACCTCAGGCCCGCAAATGCTGGCAGAAGGCAAAGGTAAACGTGCAGCACTCTGGTCAAGCAGGCGCAACAAGTCCCAAAGAACTTTGGAGGCTCGAGTATGATGCTTGGAAGACCTCGGTTTTTTTTTTTTTTTTTGGACTACAGATCCGGGACTGTAGGGCTGGATGCCGCATCACAATTTACCCCCCGAGGTCAAGCCTACCCGGTACCTTCAACCCAAGTCTAGTTACACCTCCAAAGAACAAACTACACCGGTATCCTTTTGCTAAAAATCTAAAAATCATCTTTGCCTCACTTAGTTACTCAAGCGATTGTTGACTTTGACGGTTATAAATGCTGTTGTCCCTGTCAATAACGCTTCTACGCGCGCTCCCTGTATCGAGGTCAGGTATCTTCAACAGACAGCCCAAGTCTCAACTCGCAAGATGAAACGTCAAGGAGACGGGATCGTATGTACGTCTTATTGTATAAAAATAGCAAAACACAGGGGGTCGATAATGCATCGTTATTGAGGCTTACCTAGGTACCTAGTTATGCGTTCCGCTCGTACAGGACAGGACGGGACGTAGTTATATCGAAGTTCCTCAACGGGATGCTGACCGAAAACCGAGTACATAAGCCCAAGACTTGGGCCTCTCTTCTCATGGGTGGGCATCGACGGTCTCAGCCGTCACTCAGCTTCGACGGCGACGGCGGCATCGTCTCGTCGCACGACTGGTGGCCTTCCGCCTGGTCCGCCCCCAGCGGCCGCTCTGTGGCACCAACGCCGACTTTGTGCTGGAGGGCTATTGCGATTATACCGGTGGACATGTTCCCCTCGCCAACTTTGGCGAGCTTGATATTTTGGACACGTGGGCGTATAGAAGCAGTCGGTGGGTGAATGCCTAGGGGGCGCGCATCGTCAATCTAGAGATTGAGAGGAGGCTTAGGTCGAGCCGTGGTTCCAACTCTAACGGCGTTGGGTGCGAGTACCTATGGTAGATGGAAGGCGGAAATCGAAGAAGACGGCGCCGATAGCTGCTCTGATGCTCGAGGAGGCGCGGCTTTGTGTCGACTGGCTCTCGCGGGGGCCATGGCTGGACTTTGGTTCTGGTTGTAAACAGGCAACAATCTAAAAGTCAATCCTAATGTGTTGGAATATGCTGATGACGATTGGCATGCAATGACGACTGTTCTTAAAACGTACGCTAAGCCAATTCTCAAACTGATGTGCCAAAGGTAGGCAGGCATTGGGGCAACTGTATTTCAGCGACTCACCAAAATATCTCCATCCGCCTGGGTTGTTGAGCAATACAGCCACAACGGGGGTGTGTCGTTGCCCTGGCGCACTTGTTGAGCGAAGGCAACCCTTTTTTTCTTCTGCTTTTTTTTTTTTGCAGGCGTACTGTTGAGAAGTAGTGACACTGGGCAGTCTTGTCGCAGAGTGGCCAATGTGTTTCTGACGTGGGCATGATCTAGAGACTTTATGGGTATCGTGCCGCGGCACTGAATTCACTTCAGCTCGTCTCTTGATTCCGTGTGAGCAGTCAGCTCAGGAGAAAATGCTGTCCTCTGCAGACCTGGCGACGGATGACCAAAACTGCTGGTACCGCTCAGTACTGAGCTGACACTGTTGCGCTGCGTATCGGACAGACTAAACTGGCCTTGAGACCATAGTGGGTCGGACGAAGACCTAGATCGTCGATAACCAAGGTTCAGCTCGTGAGGCTGGGGAGCTTGAGATTGAGGTTGGCTATGATAGTATTGGTATTGCTGAATATCGGCTGGCAGCTCCACGGGTGAAGGCGTCGCATGGTTCGCGTAGCTGGACGCCATGGCCTGCTCCTGTGCCTGATGCATCTGCTGAGCTTGGTACGAATGTGACGGTGAAGCAGGGAGTTGATATGGAGAAGTATGTGGTTGCTGGAAAGCCAACTGCGGACTGCCAATGCTGGGGCTGGGGCTGGGGTTATGGCCGAGAGTGCCAGTTCGATTAAGCTTCGATCGATCATTGGGGTTGATGGTTCTCAGCTTGCCATCCTCCATCATGGCCTTGAGAACGCCAGCGTCCAGCAGTTCCGCCTTTTTGACAATACGCTGGACCATTTGCTTGTTTGCCGCCTTGGCTTGCGACTTGACGAAGCTGACCATGGTGATGTTGCACTTGATCTCAATGTCTTCGCGAAGATAGAGCCCATCGGCCGGCGCGCCGAGGCCAATCTCACGCTGCTGAGGAGGCTCAATACCGGGCTGGTTGCCACCAATCTGATACTTGGATCGCATCTCAACATTGAAAGGGGCGTAGACGTGGGTCTGCAAGCCCCACGGCATGTCGTGAAAGCATCCGTTGAAGGTAATCTTGCCCGAGCCCAGGTTTCCCATGCCGGGGACGAACTGAATGCGCTGCGTAATCTCGTACCAAGTGCTGTAGAATTCGTCAGCGGCGGCATCTCTCGGGGCCGAAATGGGCTTGTGGTCGAGGACAAGCGGGTTGAGGGTGATGACTTCGCTGTGAGAATGGAGGATATCGAGCGCAAGTTGGCGCGGGATGAAGCCGGGAATCGGGGTGATGACCGTGAAGACATCTTTTTTGCGAAGCATGTTGGACGATTTGGGGAATCTCGGGTGGAGGGATGTACAGCTGCTCAGCCGAATCTAGTACTGGTGGTCCTGGTTGTCGTCGAGTTGTAGTTAGTTAGTAGATCGGATCTGTAGACGGGCATCTGCACTGCACACGTGCACGTGGGCGGTGGCCGCAGATGCAGAAGGGGAGGCAGGTGCGACTGCGGGTCTATTTTGTTCTTGGGCAGGAACCCGGCCAGGAATATGCGCATGTGCTCGTGAGGGTGAGGCTTGAACAATTGCTGCCTGGTTTCCGAGGGCCCAGCGGCAGCCAGAAGATTTATAAAGTCTGGCACGTCAGGTGCTGCCTCTCTCGCTTGCTTGAAACCACCTAAAGGATCCGGAAATGAAGCCCTGATGTGCCGACCGCATACTTCAAGTCGACTCAGAGCGTGCGGAAGAGACTTGTCGCTTATTGGGACGAGGAGGGAGGGTGTCAGCTTGGGCGGGGCTGATAAACTCCATGGTCTGGCTCGCTTTTTCGTTTCTTGTTTCTGTCCACGTCTACGCCAATAGCAAGCCAACGCCCGCCTCGACTTGCCGGTGGCGTTTCCATCTGAACTCAAGCTCAATTTCGCCCGCCCAGCTCGTTGGAACACTGAACACGTTGACCCGGAGCGTTTGATTGCCGACCGATCCATCAATCATCAATCATGGGGCAGAAAGATGGTGGCTTCAGGCTGACGGTGCCACGTCACCCTGCTTCTGGTTGACGAAGCTGCCGGCGTTCAAGACAGGTCCAGGTCTGCTGAGCTACAGACGGCTGGTCGGGTTGCCTTCTGCCGAACATGGCCGGTCCAGCATTGTGGACGGTGATGGGCAACGCCACCAATATTTGGCTCCTGCCGCACGGCACCACGATGAGAGCACGCGGGAGAGAGAAATATCAGCATGTCCGTCCGCGTCCAGCAAATCTGGCGGGCTGCCCGCTCGATTCCGGGAAAAGCAAAACTCAAAAAGAATGCGTCAAGTGGCTAATTCCATCTCCGGGCGTAGCCCCCTGGTTACTGGGTACGGAGCAAAGGGAGAGCTGCTCATCCTCCTGCTGATGGGGGTAAGACAATAACGAAAAAAGAATATATACATACGTCTGTATTACTCTACTCGAAAAATGTATATCCCCTGCTAACAAGTGCTATTGAACCAAGTACTGAAAGCTAGTCATACCACCAAGCGACCACCAAGCGCTTGATATCTGCTTCAACCGCCCCGCTCTCGTCAGATTGACACGTCCAATAGCTCTCTGAATGATAAGCAAGAGACGTGTCACTGTGCTTGCTGTCCGCCAACCCCTTGCTGCTCAAGCCTTGGTTTGGTTTCGTCCCTTGCCTCCTCCGTCTCTGTGACGGCGCTCCCGTCGCTCACCCCCATGATAGTGACTTGGGGGGCGTATGCTGTGTTCTCATTCCCCCGTCGTTTGGGGGGAATGAATACGTCGAATGCTGGCGGGAAGATGAAGCCAACCGCCACAATGACCATAGTAACATGCGCGACTGCGAATGCGAAAATATGCAGGGGATCCATGCGCGTCTCGAAGAAAGCCGGATACGCAAAAGAGATGATAATGGAAAGAATAGGACACGATATGTAGCGAACGACGGGGGCCCAGATGAAGGGGATGCTCCAATTCTTCCCGGTAGCAATGACCGAGTTGAGGTCGCGTGTAAGTTGATTGCCCTGGGTTTCAGACATAAAACATTAGAAAGTCGCAAGGACAACCAGAAACAGATGAAGCTAATGGCAGAAACGTACCGGATAGAATGCAACCCACCAAAACCTGCTTAGCCACTTGTTCTTCCCCCAGAATGTTGGAGGAACAGAGTCGGGAGTCTTGGCGACGAGTACGGAAATAGCTGTGCCGACAACGAACAGACCAAATCCCACGCCGGCCCCAGCACTTGGGCCTACAGAGTGGCCAGTCGCAACACCAAGCACCATGGCCATCAGATAGCAACCTGTATATGTCAAGAACGCCGCCCAGCCAACCTGTTTGTACACATCCCGGTGCCTGTATAGCGTGGTGCACACCATGCCCTCGCACCAGGCGGCAAACAGGAGTGCAAGGTTGTTGATCCAAGTATCCATGGCATCCAAGAGATAAAACCCAAATCTGGAGCAGTACAAGAGAGATAACAGGAAAGTAATGACAATAACGGCGGTGGAAATGACAACTCGAGGAAGTCTCTTGCCCAGATCAGAGTCACAGAGCAAGGTGACCATGGACTCGGTGAGGGCAAAGGCCGAACTCAAGCCCAGGAACGCCAGAGTCAGGAAAAACAAAACCGCCCAAACATTGGCCCCCGGCGTCTCTGAAATGGCCAGAGGATAGGTGAGAAAGCCGACGGAAAAGGTGGTGAGCTGAACGTTGTCTTGTGGTCGAAGGCCCAAGAACCCGACAATCCCAAAAACGGCAAAGCCGGCCAATATCTCGTACAAGGAGTTGCTCAGAGAGATGATGATGGTATCCTGAACCGCGTTGGAATAGCGGCTGCTGTAGGATGCATAGGCTGTAAAGTAGCCGAAACCAACGCCGATGGAGAAGAAGATTTGCCCGCAAGCGGCCTGCCAAATCTGACCGCTGGCTAGTTTCTCGCCATGCCACTCTGCAAAGTACAGCCTCACGCCGTCAATGGCGTTTGGCAACGACAGAGATCGGCCCATGAGCACAAACATCACGATGATGGGCAATCCCATTGTGAAGTACACGGCGCGGCCAGTCACGCCGACGCCTTTGAACAAGCAGAGATAGACCGCCAGCCACACAAAGGCACACCAACCAACCGTCTCGCCGACAAAGCCAACACCTGGATACATTGTGTACGAGGTAACTGTGCCGCCGCTGACGGTGCCAGGGACAGGGGCCGCGTTGGCGACGACGTCTTGCATGTAAAACTCGTCCCCACGACCTGTCCAGGGCAGCGGGCGCTGGAAAGAAGAGCGAAAATAGTGCATGACCCACGATAGGATGGGAACATAATAGGTAGCCACAATGTATCCTGTCATGGTGACGGCAAAACCAACACCGCGGGTGTGCTTGCTGATTGCATTGTAGGCGACGACTGGTCCTCCACGATATGCCAGGCCAATGGAGATTTCGAGCAGCAGAAGCGGGATTCCCAGGAGCAACAGAGCCAAGAAATACGGAATAAACCACTGAACACCGCTGTTGGAGAAGACAACGGACGGATACCGGAGGAGATTGCCCAGGCCGACGGCGCCTCCCTAGTCCCCAGTCAGCACAGCCGCGAGGTGTTGGACGATTTCCACAGGCAGCCCAGTGCTTTGGAGTAGAAAGGTTTCTCTCCGTGAAAGTGAATAGTGAACAGTCGAGACGACTGCGCTGGACGAGGGGATGCTCACCATGGCCGCAAGCACAAACGACGTCCTGGACGACCACACGTCCCGGCCATCTCGGCCCTTTTCGGAGTCTGGCGCGAGGAACTTGAAGATGGTCTTCAATGTAGACGGCATGGCCTCCACGCAATGCGGCGAGCTCCGCAAGAAATGCTGGGATGGCAGCCACGAGGTTTACCAAGAAAAGCGAGAGGGTCTGGAGCATGCATTAAATAAAGGACGGGACGTGGGCTCGCACGACCAGCAGCACGGCGTGGACACGACACGCGACTCGGCCATGCACCCCCGTTGCCTTGCTCGCTCCTCCCTCATGGCCGATTCCCATGAAGCCACACACGCTTGAGCATCCTGCTCAACTGGCGCCAGGACCTTGCGGCTCGGGAAGAATCCCCCGGGGGGTTCCTGCGCTTTTCACATCATCTTTGGCCCAAACAAGATGCGGCTTCCCCATACCGCGCACAATCCCAACCGGTGGAGGCTAGCCAAGAGATACAGGACGCTCGACACCTCGGCATGGGGCACGTGTGGCGGGTATCACGAGCTGGTCAAGGGAGTAAAGGACGTTTTGCGGACGCAGTCGCGTGCGGACCGAGGCCGAGAGAGGAGCGTCGAGACGGCGAATCCTGCACATCCCTCCGTCTGCCTCTTTGCCCGGCACTCGGATCGGCAGACGGGGTCGTGCGCGGAGGTGCGCCGCCGATGCGCCGAGAGCCAACGTCTGGCCAACGTGCCCGGGGGCCAAACACGTCCCGAGTCGGCGCAACTCCCTTTGTGCCGTTGGCAGAGCCAGAGCGCCCGGCGTGGCATTCTCGCAGCTAGCTGTGGATTTGGCGGCGGACGTGCAAACTCGGTCGTGGCGGCTAGCATGTCGAACTAAATGCCGCCCTGTTTCTGTGTTGTTGGAGGAGCAAGGCCAAGAGGTTCTCGACTGTAGTTTGCGTCGTCTTAACCAGGGGTAGTTGAATATCGTTGGCCAGCATGATCGACCGGCAATTGATGCCGCTGCTTTGCTCCACGTTGTAGGAGACGAAGAAGGAGAGGTTCCCGATTGTAGTGTGTGTTGTTTCTTTTCAACCACAAGCCGTGGACACAACGACTGAGAACCGGCGTAGTTGAGTATAACTCGCTAGTATTATTAACAGGCAATCAGTGCCGCCGCTTTGCTCCACGTTATAGGACAAACAGGCAAGAGAGGTCCCCAGGCAGTTTATACATTTCCTCCAGACCACAAGCCGTGAATACAGCGACCCAGACCCTGAACAGTACCAGCTGCCCGCGGTGCAGGAAAATCAAACGAGCCGCACGTGCCTAGGCGGAAACGCACTCGCAGGCGGCTCGGCAGCGCGTAAACTCGAAGCAGCTGTGGGCCGAGTCTGGAGAGAGACAGACGGCCAGGTCGAAGGGAGACCACACGGTAGACGGGCTGTAGCATTCCGAGGTGTGCAGCCAGGGCGTGCAGGTGGCCGGGTTGAGGCCGTCGCACTGCAGCCGGTACTGAGCCCGGGAGGCAAGAGGGCTGGCCGTGGCGGCGGCGCCAAAGGCCGCCAGCGTCGAGGATACCAAGGACGGGGATAGCCTCATGGCTCGTGGTGGATGCGAGAGGAGGTTGTGACGAGGCGGCAGCGGCTGGGCGTTGGGCGTGCGCTTCTGGACCTGTCGCTGCGGATGCGGCTGCGATTTATGAAAAAGGGGCGAGAGGGAGGCGTCACACTCACATGCTGCGTGAGCGTGAGCGTGAGCGTGAGCGTGAGCGTGATGCCGTTGTTGGCGGCGTGGTCTGCCCTGCCTCGTCTCCGAGACGTGGTGACGAGGGCGACGGCCGGCTCGTTCATCTTCCATCTTTCGGCCAGCCGGTCGACCCCAGACTCGTCGGCGATGTAACGTCCCAATGTGGTGGGTGTCGTGCCCAGTGACTAGTGAGCACGCAAGTCAGTCAGGTCAAGCCGTGGTAGTTCAACTCGGGGGCCCGGGAAGAACTTGGCCGAGTTGTTTCCATCAAAAGTTCCCCGCCGACTCCGTCAAAATCGACCACGTGGTGCAGGTTTTCGACCTCGCAACTTGGAACGGGGGCGAAGGATCTGCCTGGTCACGCTGGCGGTGATGGAGAGAGCATGGTTCGGGAATCTGGGCTAAAGCATAGTCGACCCGAGTGCCGAGTACAACACGTCATTACCGTGGGCAGCCTACCACGGCTCTGTGAGTGCGCAGAGAGCGAGACGGGGAGAGAGAGAGAGAGAGAGAGAGCGAGAGAGAGAGAGAGAGAGATGGGCATGACGGGAGCGTCACCAGTGAACACCGGTCCCAGACGATATTTGAAACTACTCGACGTGATTCCGACCCAGCGAGTTTCGACCATCCAGCCGGCCATTGTCCCACGACGCAATTTAAATCCGGCTGGCCACGACCTCTGGCGACCATGTCCCTCTTCGTCCCAGACTCCCAGACACAAGCTCCGTCTCTCCCTGGCCTGTCCGGTTTGTGCTCATCTCCGCCGTCGACAGGGCCATCGTGGGAGATGCAGAAATCACTCCAACACGGCTGGCCTCCCGGGCCGACCACGAACATGTCCTGGCTCTGATCAAACGCTCGACACTAGTGCCCGAGTCGCGTGAGCAGCCTCGGCCGGCGCGGAGCGTGGGGCTGCCGCTAACAACTAGTCGGTTTCGTCGACCAAGCGTGCCGAAGCGCCACGGCAGGGAAAGGAAGCCCGGAGAGCATGGTGCTTCCCATGGTCCGGCCCGGACAAACTTTTGTCGCCGTCGCTCCGCGTGCGGGCAGATGACCTGCGTCGCCGGCTGACGCGAGGGACGAGAGCTGACCCAGTAGGGAACAGGGCGACGAGCAAGGGCCGTGCGATGCCATTCACGATGTCGCCACCCGCTCAAGTCGTGTACGGGTTCAACAGGACGCGAGGGCGGCCTTCTCAGGAGACGACCGGCAGACGTCCTGCGCCGCCTCAGCAAGCCTGGCCAGTGGTCAGGATGCGCTTCGCCTGCTGGGCGTAGGTGCAGCCGTTGTTGACGTTGGCGTCGGAAAAGGCGGCGGACCACATCATGACGCCGCCAAAGGCGCCGTCGCCGCTGTACCGGGCCACGAGGGCCGCCAGCTGCCCCGGCTCGAGGTAGTACCGGGCGCCGGCGGCGGTGCCGGTAGCGCCGAGCGGGGACGCCGGCACGCCGATGAAGATGCTGGCCCGGGCCGAGGGCGTGTTGGCGACGTTGGCCTTCCAGGCGTCGTAGTTGATGGGCCCGTCGACCGAGCACCCGGGGTTGTTGTAGAACTGGACCCAGAGGTAGTCGAACTGCGCGCCGGCAATGATGGCGTTCATGTTGGGCTCCGGCACGGGGCACTGCGGCGCCCCCGTGATGAGGAACCGGGCGCCGGCGGCGAAGTTGGACCGCAGCTTGGCAATCAGGAAGGGGTAGTAGTTGCTGCCGCTGCTCGTCTCAATGTCAAAGTCCCAGCCGTCGACAAAGGTCTTGCCAAAGGGCCGCGGCGTCGGGGGCGCCGCGGGGCCGCCGCCGCCGCCGCCCGGGGTTCCGTAGGCGTCCCAGAGGCTCTGGCCGACGGCCTCGGCCTCCTCCTGCGACGTCAGGGCGTAGGTGCCCGCGGCGCCGCCCAGCGACAGAATCACCTTGACGCCGTTGGCCTTGCACGTGTCGATGGCCCTCGCCAGGTCGTCGCAGTTCTGGCCCTCGCCGGCCGGCGTGATGACGCACGACCGGCCGAAGCTCCCCGACGCCACCTTGTTCCCGTTGCCGAACTGGTACAGGAAGGCGAGGACGACAATGTCGATGCCGGCCTGCCCGGTGCAGTACGCCGCCAGGTCGTTGTTCTCGACGGCGCCCCCGCCGCCGTTTTGTCCCCAGTAGACGACGGTCTGGCCTCCCGCGGCCCGGGGTGAGAGCCGTCGCGGCGGCGCGGCGAGCGAGGTGCCGGCCAGCAGCACGAGGCCTGCGACAGCCCTGAGGATCGAGGCCGGCCTGGCCATGCTTGTGCTCGGATCAGCGTGGGGGAGTGTGAAACGGCGCTTTGTGGCATTTACGACGGAGAGTCGGCTGGGTAGTGGGAGACGAAACCAACGGACGGGACCCGTCAAGCATCTCTGCCGAGCCTGTGGATGCCTGGATAGCAATCAGGAGGGCCTGGTTCGACGACACGTCAAAACGAGAACGAACGAGGAGGACATGTCGAATATATACCGTCTTGTTTTGTCCCTGTTCCCGGCCGCGGTCCGTTCGGAAGAGCAGTCTGGCATGGAGCCCTTCTGCCGCGTCATGGCCGGACCAGATTGTCGAGGTTTAGGCGCTCGCGGCCAAGGTGAGCGCCCGAGAGATTCTTGCCAGAGTGTCACGCTTCTAGAACGGCCAAGACGTCGCGGCGCTACGGACCTACGGAACCCTAATGCGGTCAGGAGGAGGGCGGTTTGGTCCATGGTCCGTCCTTCGGCCCCGGTCGTCTCGCAGAAATGTGGCCCCGTGGCGATGATCTTTGTGGTCGTGAGAGCCGGCCTCTTACTCTTCATGGTACTTTTGTCTTGGAGTTGAGCCGCAACCTGCCGTTTTACCAACCTCGACTTGGTATACCGGCCAAAGGGGAAACGGGTGGCATTTGAAAGCGTTTCCGCCCACAGTTGAGAGTCCGAATTAGGCAGAGTGTGGCTGTTTCGGAATGTCGGCCGACGGGGAACAACAGGTGCCGGTGATGGCCATGGTTGAGGCTGACCGTTTTGTCTTCGGGCATTCCTGCACGTCTTGTCGTCTTGGCCATTGTCAACCCAAGTACACGGCTCATCATCCTTTGTCGTGTCGGCGGCCGTCTTGACTCCCAAGTTGACGCTGTCCGTACGTAGATGGCCCGGGGTTCACCGGCCAGGCACACGACAGGACCAATGTGTAATGGTTTTCTTTGGAGACACGCCTGTAGAAATGGACTGTCGTGCCCGAGGCTCTGGAGAGATTCGGCAAGGTTGAGCGAAAACGGTTCGTGGGAGCTTCCCCGACACTCCCGACTTCTGGGAGGGTGGCATGCAAGCCTACGCCCCCGACATCTCCGCGTGCCTCCGGAGTCTGAGCAGAGACACAACCTGCGAGCGAGCAGCTGCCTTGTTCCGTGCAAGATCTACATCGTCCCGTGGGCGTAATTCTAGATGCAGCGGACGGTGGATAGAAGCAGCCGCAGTGCGTCTCAGACACATGTCCGACGTCATTCCAGCTCGACCCAGACAGTGGATGCAAGCTGCATCCGCATGCTCGCAAACTGACATGGCACCTGCGTTGAACTCCATGCGGCTCGGACCTGGCACGTCGTCCTCGTCCGTCTCTCAGAGACATTCTAGTTGCGGTACCACGACCAAGAGGACCTGCATGCTCGGGCGAATACGTACCGTCCAAGTGTTCGTGTCCCAGCTACCGTCAGTATATCCGCCAATGCTTCATGTATGTGGTTATAATAGAACCATACCTCTTCTACATGTCGTCGTCTCTGCTCTGGAGGTGGTCGTCCACTACAGCTTTGCCGCGTTGTTTTCTTCCGCCACCGCTCGTCTTTCAGCTGATTTCTGACAGCGACAAGCTCGAGTCTGTACTTGAACCGACCGTACTCGCCCGTTTCCCCGGTTGTTTTGTCACGGCCGGGCGCATCGTCTGAAACACGCTTGCGAGCATCATCCCAACGCACATGCTTCTCCGTCGTTGAAATACATCTACTCGCCGTAACTTGCCAGTTTTCCATGGCCGTCACACCAGATATTCACGTCTGCAGTTGTTCAAGCCTCGGCCCAGGCTGCAACGGCACCGCAAGGGCCGACAAGGGCAAAAAAACTTCTTGTAGCATTGACGGCCCTACCGCACTATTACCATTGGCACCGTACCTAATCCCACTTTGCCTTGTTCTCTTCAACATATGCCTTCCACGTAGTCGGCTTGTCGTGCCCCAGCAGCGCAAGACTGTCCTCGAGACCAGCGCCAGCATAGTACCCCGGGTCCTGGAAGAGGAGCATGTTCTCAAGCAGCTCCTGCGCCGCCGCCGGCGGGAGGGACGACTTGAACGCCTCGTGGGGCACCTCGCGGTACGCCACCTCCTTGCCGGCTGCTTGCTCGAACTCGGCTACGATGCGCGCCGGGGTGTAGTAGTCGGTGGCGGCGCGGATGACCTTTCCGTCGGAGGTGCTCCTGAGCGCGGCCTTGACGAAAATACCTGCCGAGGAATCATCATGAGACACGCAATCTCTTCTTCGACGCCCCGCCCCCCCTTTTTAACTATTTGTTTACACACGCACACATTGTGAGTCAAAACACGGGTACGACGCGCCAGTACTCACCAGTGTCAGCGGCCGCGTCAAACAGCGGCAGCTGGGCCTGGTCGGGCTTGACGCCCTCGGGCATGGCCCAGGCCAGGCTGCCGTCGTCCTGCTTCCGGATGAAGCCGAGGAAGCCGCTCATGAACAGGCCGGGCTGCACAAAGGTGCAGCGGATGCCGCTGCCGCGAATGTACTGCTCAATCCTGGCCTTGCCGTCAAAGTGAGTGACGTGGCTGAGCCTCCCGCCGCTGGCGTGGCTGACGTCGATGAGGGACGAGAAGATGAGGTGCTCGACGCCGGCGGCCTTGCAGGCGTCGGTGACGGCTTTGCCCTGCGCCATCTCCGTCTTGTCCGACATGGACTCCCAGAAGTTGGTCACCAGGAAGACCGAGTGGGCGCCTTTGACGGCCGGCGCGGCCGCCTCGGGGGAAGACATGTCGGCCCGGGAGGAGTGTCAGTCTCGTGCGGTTTCCTTGCCTTGCCTTGTCTCGCCCGTCCAACTCACCTTGACCACTTCGACGCCCTGGGCAATCAGGGCCTGCGCGGCCGGCTTGCTGACATCGCGAGTCACGCCGCGGAGCTTGTACTCTTTGGACAGGACGGGGTCAGCGAGGACGGCGCGGATGACTGAGCCGCCTTGGTTGCCGGTGGCGCCGAAGACGGTGAAGACCTTGGACATTTTGGTCTTTTGTTTCTCGCACAGACGGCCGGGAGCAAGGTTTGTCGCGTGTAGAGTGGGGGAGAAGAAAGGCCTTGACGAGTCAAGAGCCAACGACGTCTGAGATTTGAGACTTGAAGGTTGGTGCGATTCGACGGAGATGGTGGTGGTGATGTGATGATGAGCATGAGGGAGGGGTTCGTTCGTGAACATTGACCCAGACCAGCCCAGATTTTATGCATTTTGCCTTTTCCATGGGGGAAAGCGACTACGCATGCCAATCTCAACTCAAAATTGTGCTAGGGGAAGACGATATGTGTGAACTATCCACCATCTGGCGACGTGACGTGATCATGATCGCTCCCGGCGTTGGCGCGGAGTGAGCGCGGCGATTTGTCAAGGACAAAATAGGAATAGCATAGTTTAGTTACCACTTTTCGGGAGGGGTAACTGCGGGGCACCCCGTCCCATTGTCCTTCTTTGATGCGTTCATCATCATGCCTCATTAGTAATACCCGTCCTGTCATGCCGCACACGGAGTGTCGGTGGACCTTTTCATGCAGTTAACCTTTTACTGTCGTTTCCCTCCTTTCACTGCAAGAAATGCCAATAGGTACTTGTTGACTGCTATATAATACAACCACATTACATTATTAATGGCGCATCAACGATTATTGTACGGTGGACTCCGTTCTCCGTTCTGGAGCAACGCGTGCAGACCTCGGCACCAGGTCAGCACCAACTTGCCGATCAAGTCTAGAGTCTTGTCGACTCCCGGCGAGAGCCTCAGGGAAAAAAGAAAAAGTCCCTAATAGCCCTCGAGTAAACACGTCACACAATCCATAACGTTGGCTGTGGCTGTTGACTCTAGGCTGTGATTGAAAACCTCACGAAACAGCGTCTTGCTACCACGTAGTCCTTCGGTATAAGACGCCTACGCTTCGACGGCTCACGCTGGTTGCATCAAGTCCATCCGTCGGCTTCGAGTATGTAAGCAACCAAGGCACCGCATGTGCGCACAGCAGCGCCCCCAATGCTTTTCGCCCGCCTGTCCACAAAAGGACAGATGATGGATCTGCTTCCTTTCCTTGCTCGGGGCCACAGCCTAACAGCGCATAACCAGACAATGGTGCCAACGACCAGCTGTTGGCCGAGGGTCAGTGAAAGCCGAGAAAGTCCTGTATATACCATTTGAATTGAAAATTGACAGTATTCACCGACAGCTGCGCTTCGACATGGCCCCTTCCAGAGGCCCTTTGGAGAACCCTCCCCCCCGGGAAAGGGGGGGCGCGCTGTCCAGACAAGACGACACGGCACACGCGCTCGCTTGCCTGCCTGCTGCTCAACACACAGAGTCCTTAGACCACTGAGACTTGGCCCTCGCCTGCCGCCCATGTTTGTAAAACACAAACGGCACGGGAATCAACAGTGCCGCAATCCCCCCCGTGATGCTCGAACCGGGCCCGACGCCGATATTGTGATACAGCGGCCCCACAACCAGCGGAAAGACGCCGGCGAAGCAAGACCTCAGAAAGGTATTTGCCGCAATGGCCGAAGCACCGTGCGCCTGGAACGTGTCGACGAGGTAATTCACCGCCGCCTGGAAAATGGTAAAGAAGCCGGTGCCGAGCATGAAGAGCCCCAGGCACGGCGCGGCCCAGTGGACGCCCGGATCGGCCGTCCACCCGAGCAGGAACTGGCCGGCGCTGAAGACGACTCCGCCCAGCATCATGGGCGGCAGCCTCTTCTCCGGGACGGCACGGTCGCCGGCGGCGTGGTAGGCTCTGTTGTAGACGGTCTGGTTGTAGATGTTGAGCACGCAGCCGAGCGCGGCGCCCATGAAGACGGCCAGAAACGGCAGCGACGCCACAAAAGGCCGCCACCCGCGCAGCTCACCAAAGATGATGGGGATGGCCCCCAGCTGCATGTACAGGATGCCGTAGCAGAAGCTGGCGTAGAGCGCCATGAGAAAGCAGATGGGCGTGCAGAGGAGCTGCACCGGCCGCAGGAGGAACTTGGTTGCCAGCTCGCGCACGCTAATGTCCCATTCCTCAAACTGCGCGTGCAGCGCCCAGTTGCCCGTTGAGAAACGCAGGCGCTGGGCCTTGCAGACGAGTAGGCTCGGCGGATAGCTCTCGTCGATGAAGATGATGGCCATGGCCAGCACCACGGCCTGCAGCATGGTCGAGAGGTACAGCGTCCAGCGCCACCCGAGGGATGGCTGCTCGACGAGGGCTGCCGAGATGATGGGACCTACAGGGCATCGGTTAGCACGCCTTGCGCGGGACGAGACCTCTTCTTCCGGTTTCGCATACTCAACGCCGGGCCGCCAGTAACAGCCATGGCATAGCCCGCCATGGCAATGCCTCGCTCATCAGGAGAGTACATGTCCCCGAGCACGCCGCCGGTGTTGGTCACGGGCGCGGAGGCGAAAAAGGCATCAAAGAAGCGCGTCAACATGAGCGTCTGGAGATCCTTGGCGGTGGCGCTGCCGATGGTGAAGCACGTAGATATGACCATGGGCACCATGACGGCCACGCGCCGCCCGTAGACCTCGCTGAGCGGCGCCCACAGCATCGGTCCGAGCCCGAAGCCAAACAGGTACAGCACCGTGCCGAGCGTGGCGACCTGTGTGCCGACGTGGAACTCGCGCGCAATCTGCGAGGTGCCGGCCGAGTACGAAGACGACGTCCACGTCGCCGTCATGGTGACGAGGCCATACAGCAGCGTCGTCGACGCCTTCTTATGCGCCACCCAGTTGAGCGGGTGGTAGGGGTCGTCAGGGCCGTCAAAGTTGACGAGCGATGCCTCGGTCGTGCGCACATGGGCCAGCGGGTGCGTGAATTGGGGCACCGGCCGCGATCGTATTCGCGAAAGAACCGTGTCGACGCGCGCGGCCGTTGGAGCCAGGCTTCCCGTGGCTGTCGAGACCGACTCTGCGCGCCTCCGCCGAGAGCTCGCGTACATGTCGGAGTGGGTTTCGCGCAGGGTAGGCAGGGGGCTGTAGAGGTCGTTTGGTTTGGTTTCGCAGTCGGCGTCGTCGGAATCTCGGCCGCTGGCGTTTGCCCATGAGCCGACGTCATTGTTGGCTGCCGTGGGAGCCGCCTCGTCCGCCGCGGGCGACCACTCCGGTTTGTCCTTGACTGGGTCCGACATGGTCAAGACATGGTATCAATTGACCACATATGCCTCTCCACGGGCGGATCGCAGTCTATTTAATCAGCCGTTGAAGATGGTCAATCGTGGCCGACAGAGCGCCTGGGTAGACCGTATTCCGAGACCGGAGCCGGCTCGGCCCACGCGGCGGCATGGCGACCCGGACGGCATGGAAATTCCATGGGAAATTCCCAACATGGCGAAAACCCAATTCCAATAATTCCTGGGGCGCTTGGGCCCAGTCCAGCGACACGATTCACTGAACTAGTGGGCAATCATGCTCAGCCAGCACTAGCGCTACCCATCAAGGTGGTCATGCAATCGCGTAGAGGTAGCGGAAATACGAGGGAGAGCTCCCTTCCGCATCCCTCTCGTATCCCTCTTCCGCCTGTCTCATTGAAGCGTGCCGGACATGGTGACAATTCAGGTCGAGTGGTCAACGACATCGGCACAAAATATGGCCGAGTTCCGCGTCGAATGTCCTTCTACTCATCATCTTCACCATGAAGGAACTTCATTTTCACATGTTTGGGTTCGGGAAATGACAGATTTGTCTCTCACCCACAGACACATCCAGTCGTAGATATGTAGCTCAGGGTATACCAAGCTCCAAAATGACAAAGGCAATTGTTTTCTTCCCGGGACGGCACGTGCGTCAACGTTGAATCGACCCCAATCAAACTCGACAAACAAACAAAAGCCTCAGGATTGTGCACTTCTCGTCGAGGTGATGCGCGCCTTACTTTAAACCATCAGGCTGTCGGCTCGTACGGAACAAACTCAAGCTGATTAGAAGCCTCGTTGTTTTGGTCGCCAAAGAATGACTGGTGTGGTATTGGTGTCATGGGTGCAGCACCCGTCAAATCTACTTCTGTTGACTGCGATGCTGCAACGTTGCTCTCCTCTGCCTGCGAGGCTTGCGTTGCGGTAGTTGCGCTTGGTTGTGATTTCGCAAGAGTATGAATGTGTTGCTGCAAGCTCAATGTAGCCTGCTGTGAGGTTGTGAGGCTATTCGTAAGGGCGTTAATCTGTTGCTGTAAACTTGATGCAGCTTGTTGTGAGCTTGTGAGGATATTCGCAAGGGCATCGACCCGCGAAACGAGGTCTGGAAGGGTGTTTCGTTGCGCGCGGCCGCGACGTCCAGGCCCAGCACGAGTTGCTGAGGCTGCAGGCGTTTGCGTACTATTTTCAACTTCGCTAGACTTTGAGAGGCGTAATTGACGCTGGATGAAAAAGACCTCCATGCTGGTGATGTAAACATCTGGGCATTGCTGCATGATTTGTGCTGCGATTTGCTTTGTCGTGAATGTTTTCAGATTAGTCAGGGTTTCAACCCTTGTCTGAATTTCTTGCAGGCCGAAGTTCTGTTGACTTCGAAGCCGTAGGATGCTTGAATCTAAAGGCGAGGGGACCGGGTCGTGATTGTGTCGGCTTTCATTGATTATGGGGGTCCAGGTATTATCGTGAGTGTTTAGGCGAATCTGGGCTCTGAACGGGCATTGGCCCTTCCTTGACGAGGTCTTGTAGATGTTCGAATTATTCTTATTTGGCCTATAGCTGCCGCTATGCTGACACTGAAACCTGTAGTTATTCCTCAGCCCGGTGCGCCTGGAATAACCGCCGCCGCATTTGACTGCAACAAATCCCTTCTCGGCTTGTTGGGCATTGAGAGCCTCGATGGCCTCTTCTGCGGTCGGATACGATGCCTGTAGGCTGGAGGCTGACATGACAGGACGGAAGCGGCGTGGTGATGCTGGGTTGTGGGTGATGTTGATGAAAAGGGATGAAATCGCGCAGCCGCCGGGAAACTGGATTACGATGGCGCACCCTGTGCACTTTATGTGTCAGTAGTACCGACAATGCGAAATCTGTATGTTGAAGTACCTGGGCCAATTTTGGCCGGGTCGATGCGCGTTTAGTTCCGCGCGACACAGCCACCGCAGCCACAGACCACTGTAGTTTGGGCGTCCAAGGTCACAAAGAGCATCATCGGTGAGCAGCTGCACCACGCCCAGGTCTGATCCTCGGTCAAACTGAAGGGATAGTCGGCAACGCCATCTTGCTCGTCTCGTTTCGACGCATGGCTCCAAAGAATTTGAGCTCGGCTAGGTTTTCGATGCATCAACTTTCAACTTTCCGAGCCCTAGAATCGACACGAAACGGTCCGATGTCCAGCCAGGACAGCTGGGGACTCGCTTAGGAATTCGACCGAGACTAATCTCAACCATGCCGATGCGCACATGTTCTTTGCCTAGTCAGTTGGTGAAACGTCGCACATCTGGAACATAGTGTTGGCCAGGAACAAGCTGACAGCTGAGTTGTAGCAGACCGAACGGCGAGCGCGAGAGTGTTTCCTAGGAGCTCATAATTATGAAGAAATAAGGGACGCCACTGAATATCTTGACCATCAAGGTAAACATACACGCGCTCTGCCGCATGAGCCTTTCTTACCTAAGCTGCTTTGGGCTGCCGAGAATGCCACAGTCCTCCGTGGCGCAATTGGCTAGCGCGTCTGACTGTTAATCAGGAGGTTGAAAGTTCGAGCCTTTCCGGGGGAGGCTTTTGTAGTAGTCCGCAATTTTTTGGTCCTCAGCTCTGTTCTTGAAAAGGCGTCCCTTTTTGATCATATTTTTTATTGGTAAGAAAGAATAGGGCCGATTGAATCGTCATGCCAAGAACGGAGTCTTTGCCCATCTTGGAATTCGGTGTAGATAGAGTGCTCGCTCACACCACCACTGCATTGCTATGACTATGAGAAGCCACGGGATTGTCTTTCATTGACACTGCACGATTCTCAGCCGCAAGTCTACACGTCGGTCTCGCGTCGATATCCTCCAGAGGCCGGGGGAGGGCTTTTCCAAGCTGCTCAGGACGACGGCCTCGGCGTTGCTCAACTCGATCAGCAGACCTCCTACCGTCGTGTTCTCCGGGAAAGCCGCCCGGTGCGAGATTCTCCACATTTTTTTATGTGCTGCTATTTTCGTGATAATCGCCGCATTACCAGTCGTTCCTCTGCGGGCCAGTCGGCTCGGTTGACGATGCAATCACTCAAGAGCTCTTCCATGGGATAGAGGTTGAACCTTGCACAATTTACATGCAGCATGTCCGAGCCGAAAGTACATTGTTCGGTACCTTTGAGTGCCTGCAGACCCTAGCTTGGTTGTGCCGGAATTTCTGTCTCTTGGGGAGAGCAAAAGGTTCGACCGAAACCTTGTTTCGAGGCACAGACATCAGGATCCAATGACGTGGCAGGGCAGCGCGGTCATCCGCGGACCGTGGTCCATGGGGGTGTCGTGGCGATGGCGATGGCGCTCAAGATGGTGGTCAGATGGCGACGCTGGACGAGTCGAGGTTCGGGCTGAGCTTCAAACAAGCAGTCGGCCTGCTTGCAGATCCAAACGTAATTCATGTCCAGATGCCTGCGGGATGGTATGGTTGTATCCAACTTGGCATCCACGTCACGTCTGGAGCGAACAGACGGACTCCGTACGGAGTACGTTGCCAAGAAATGGGGACAGATTGGCCCTACGACGGACGCGCAGCTCGCCGGCCCCTTGCCGTTTCGGTGCCGACTTGGCTGGTAGGCTCCTAGGCTCTAGGCTCTGTCGACTGGCGCCCCCCCAAAAAAGTCAACCCAACCTGCTCACCAGACTCAAGTTGCGAGTTGGCTCCGACCCGCCTCGCTCACATGCCTCCTCCGCCCTTCCGCCCTTCCGCCCTTCCCTTGTCCTTGCATGTCCATGTCCGTCCGTGTCCTTTCCAGCAGACAGTGTCCATCCATTATTAGTATTATCCATTGCGTCAAGCAGCCCTGCAAGTCGACCCTCGACACGACTCTTCATCCCCGATCCCCGGCTTGTGTCCTGTTCTGTGATCTGGCATTTGGAGCCATCGAGACCCAAGAGACGTCTACCGGTACATGACCCTGCTCCACGCCCATCCCATATATCATGGATTGAGTCGCGACCCGACGCACCCATTCGCATTACCGAACCTTCGCCGCCCGTCCATCGAGACGAGAACCCTGGTCACGGTACGGCGAAATGGCTGATCTCATCCTTCAAGCACACCGGCCTCCGAGCCTCCATGCGCCAGCCGCCTACGCTGGCTCCCGGAGCGAGCCAAAGACGCAGGCGCTTTTGTCTCAGCAAGCATCTGGTCGAGGCGGCCGACTTCGAAAAGTCGTATCCAGGACCCTTCGAGACGCCAACGATGCGCTCCTTTCCTGGAAAGATGGGTTGACTGTCGACGAGCGCGAGCGCCTTCGACTACAGCAAGAGACAAAGGCCATCCTATCTGCGCACATGAAATCTGTACGCTTCTCCGCCAAACCCTCATTCCCCTCGCTGGGCCTTGCTCAACCTTGGCCTACGTTGCTGCTGACACTACAATTACAATGCAGGCCGAGACCTATGCGCGGTGGAAAGAAGCCGCGGCGGAGCTGGACACGCTCGAGGGCAATGACGGGTGGAAGAACGAGACAGTCTCTGACGAATATGACTTTCTGCTCATTCAGGAGCGTCTGCGTGCGCTGGATGACGCCCGCCTCGGCAATGATATTCGCTCCATGATGCACCTCATTCGCACAGAATTGAGTCGGGACCTCGGGGGCATGGGCAGCGTCGACCTGTATCGCCATTCCCACACAGGTACCAAGAAGCTCATAGAGCGCTACGTCGAGTCCGCCATTGAGACGATTGACGCCATTGTCACCCAGAGCGCCTTGAACCATCGCACCATCCAAGTCAAGGACTTGTTGGAAGGCATGCTGTTCTCGAGACAGAGCTTCGGCCGCAGCGCCTTGCTGCTTTCCGGCGGAGGCACGTTTGGCATGACACACATCGGCGTGCTCAAGGCCTTGTTTGAGCAGCAGCTACTGCCGCGTATTATATCCGGTGCCAGCGCAGGAAGCATAGTCTGCGCCGTCATGTGTACCAAGACCGACGAGGAGATTCCCGAGCTGCTAAGAGACTTTCCTTACGGCGATTTGGCCGTTTTCGAATCAGAAGACAGCAACCTCGGTGTCCTGGGTCACATGCGGCGTCTCCTGACAGAAGGCAGCTGGTCCAACATTGATAATCTCACCCGCGTCATGCGCAATTTAACCCGGGACATGACGTTTCAGGAAGCCTACAACCGAACCCGCCGCATCCTCAACATTTGCGTGTCCACGGCGTCCATTTACGAGTTGCCGCGGCTGCTCAACTATGTCACCGCACCCAATGTCATGATCTGGTCGGCCGTCGCGGCGTCCTGTTCGCTCCCGCTGGTGTACACGTCGTCGCCGCTGCTGGTCAAGGACCCCGTCTCTGGGGAGCACCACCCGTGGACGCCGACTCCTCAACGGTTCATTGACGGCTCCGTGGACAATGACTTGCCCATGACCCGCCTGGCCGAAATGTTCAACGTGAACCACTTCATTGTCTGCCAGGTCAACCCGCACGTGGTGCCGTTCTTGTCCAGGGACGATGTGCTCCCGCAGGACAACCGACCAACAGCCCCGGCCCCGAACGCCCGGCGCTCCGACGACGTCGACTGGACGTACGCCCTCACCACGTTGGCGAGGGATGAGGCTTTGCATCGGCTTCAGTTCATGGCTGAGCTGGGCATCTTTCCCAACTTGATGACCAAGTGCCGGACAATCCTAAGTCAGAAATACTCTGGCGACATCACCATCTTGCCGGAGATTGCCATGCACGACTTGCCAAAGCTCCTGAGCAATCCCACCGTGGACTTTATGCTGCGGTCGTGTGTACTTGGCGAACGAGCGACGTGGCCGCGGCTGAGTCGGATCCGGGACCGCTGTGCCATTGAACTTTGTCTAGACCGTGCCGTCCACCGCCTCCGCACTCGTGTCGTCTTCTCTGACAGTCAGCGGAACCTACGGGAACTGCAATCGGAGATGGGCCAGATGCGAATCGACATGACGCCCACCACTGCGTCCCAATCCCCCGCGCCGGTTGCCGGGCACTCCGCAGCGGGGGCCGGCACGCACCAGGATCCGGTTCGCAGACGGCGCCGGTCCGGGGGCAGTGTCCAAACCATGCCCGGCGGGGGGGCTGCCTTGGACATGGGCATCACCCATGATGAAACAGCGGCTGAGAAATGCGATGAACTCTTGTCGAGGTCACACAGCGCTCACCCGTCCACCTCGCAGCGCAAACCGCGTCTCAAGAGGTCCTGCAAAAGTCAAGTCAATGTCCCGCAGCACAGGGAGCCGGCCACAACGGCAACCCCAGCAGCCCTGGCAAAGTTGGAGTTCCGTGCCGTTGCCGAGTTTAACCCTTTGAGGCCCATGCGCACAGCAGGTGGCACGTCGAGCCAGGCCCTCCCCAGCACCAGCAGGTCCCCGGACGTGCGCCCGATAGCACTCGGCATGTGGTCCGAACGCGTGGGCGGGCTGTCTCGGGAAGAGGCGACGTCACCGACGGACGATGTTGAAACAAGCGAGCTCGACCGCTCGAGCGACGCCGACGCCGATGCTGAGCAAGCCACCGAGGAGAGCGACCCGGATCCGTACGATGCCTCTGTGAGAAGCGGGCCAACCAAGAAGACGCGGAGATAGCAGCTTTCTTGTAAAGCAGAGCTTTGCATGACATCAGAGCGGTGTTGCTGGCGTTGGGTTCTATTTTCTGTGCCTCCCTTGCTTTTTTTTTTTTTTAATTTTTTATTCTTTCTGTGGACATGTCGTCAGAACCAGGCGGGCAAATGCGGGCGTAGCACAAGTCGGATATAAGATGGTAGCAGTAGCATGGGCGTACATGGCCGGCGTTTAGCATGCATCGCAATACAATAAACAACATGGCTGCAACGCAAAAAAAGACGTAATGGGCCATGCATGGCACTGCAGACTTGAGGCCCAAATGAGCGAGAGTGGTGGAGAGTGGGCAAATAGGGTGTTGGGCTGAAATAATGTCGCCACGGATATACCTCGGCCGCGTGGCCTAATGGCTAAGGCGCTAGATTTCGGTTCATCGTCGCCGACTCCTCTAGAGATTCCAGGTTCGACTCCTGGCGTGGTCGTAAGTTTCTTTTTGGTTCCGGCCGGAACAGGATTAGATGGGTATGGGCGTCGGTTCTTTGCTAGCAGGTTTTTGATAGCGTGGTGGATAAGACGGCGAATGGATAGATAGATCTTGGTAACGGGACCGCGTTGTACGTAACTGGACTGTTGGCTGCTAAGCTGCAGTCTTGAATCTTGACAAGGGAGTAAAAGTAAGCAAGTGAGTGGAGTGGACTGTGTGTATGTAGCATGTGGATATGCGAACATGGCCGCATCATCAGCATCATCGACCGCTAGCTACTAAGTAGCTGGCTAGCATTGGTAATTATATGTTGGACCTCGGTGCTAAAGGAGGGCGTGGGATTCTTTCACAGTACGATTAGGATTGTGATGCTGGCGTCTGTTTTTGCGATGCGTACGTACTCGCTGATTCTGTCACCGGTGAACGGCACGTGGCCGCGAGCTTGATGGATCACGGCTGGGAGTAGCCCTCGTGTTTGCTGGGCGTTCGCGGGAGGTCGGGATCAGCAATTGCGTGCTTCCCGTGGGTGCCGCCGACGGACCGGCCAGCGTCAAAATTGCACGTCCTGTGGTTGCTGCCGCTGCTGCCGCCGCCGCTTGCTGCTGTCACTGCCCCCCTTTTGGACAAGCCCATGGCGTCAGCGAGGCTGGGATGGCAGCATCGAGCGACGTGCGGGGCGGGCCAATCGGGGTCGGGGGACAGCACGCAATCCTGTCTGGCGCACGCACGCACGCACTCACGCATAGCACGGCGTACATGGTGGCTCGCATTGGGTGGTGCTGCGGCAAGGGGGAGTTGTTGTTTCGGGGGGTTGGAGTGCAAATGCAAGGCCGTAAAGGGTGGCGGTGCGGCGGCTTGACGAATATTTTGCAAGCGCGACGAGAGGGGGCCATGGCGGGGCAGCTCCCTCGACGTTTACGTGGACGTGGATGGGGAGAGGAGGGGCAGCAGAGACATCGACATCCTCCCCCGCGCCAGCGTCTGCAACAAGCTGCGGCGTGCGGCGTGCGGCTACCGGCGCTTCGGATTCATTGGCGTCGCAGGTTGTGCGGCTACTTCATTCAGTACATAAGGGGGCGTCGCCAGCCCGTCCCGCATGCAATCGGCCACTCTTCATCTTCTCCTCCTTCTCCTCGGAATTCACATCCATCGTCGCATCATTCAACCACACATCCGCCATGGCCGGCACCACCACCCACCTCCGTCTCGGCTCCAAGGCGCCCGACTTCACCGCCGACAGCAACATCGGCAAGGTCGAATTCCACAAGTACATCGAGGGCAGCTGGGCCATCCTCTTCTCGCACCCGCAGGACTTTACGCCCGTGTGCACCACGGAGCTGGGCGCCTTTGCCAAGCTCGAGCCCGAGTTCACCAAGCGCGGCGTCAAGCTGCTCGGCCTGTCGGCCGACACCACCGACAGCCACGCCACCTGGATCAAGGACATTTCCGAGGTGACGGGCGGAGACGTCAAGTTCCCCATCATCGCCGACCCCGACCGCGTCGTGGCCAACCAGTACGACATGTAAGTTGGGTCCGTGGCGCGGCCGTCGTGGGAGGAGGAGGCGCCAAAGCCGCCGTCGCCGACAAGACAAAAGCACAAAAGAGCGTTCGGGCCAAAGGCTAACTCTGCCCGCTCCAGGATCGACTACCAGGACCCGTCCAACATTGACAGGAACGCCCTGCCCCTGACCATCCGATCCGTCTTCTTCATCGACCCCAAGAAGACGATCCGCACCATCCTCTCGTACCCTGCCTCGACCGGCCGCAACGCCGCCGAGGTCCTGCGCATCGTCGACTCCCTCCAGGCCGGCGACAAGCACAAGATTGCCACCCCCATCGACTGGCAGCCCGGCCAGGACGTCATCGTCGCCAACAGCGTCAAGGACGCCGAGGCCAAGGAGCTGTTTCCCAATCTCCGCATCATCAAGCCCTACCTCCGATACACTGCTCTGCCCCAGGTTTGAGACGAAACAAGACGCGGGCAGACAGGGGGCCGGAAAGTGAGGCGTTGACAAAGGTAAAGAGGAAAACAGACCCGAAAAAACACAACAGGTCGAGCAGAAACAGACATTTTTTGCAAGTAGGAAGCAGATTGCAATGGCAAGCCGTCGGTGCACGTACACTTGTCCACACGTTTGTACGCCCAAGGTCTCTCTTCGTCTGTATAAGCTCAGTAGCTGCAATAAGAGAGCCGCGGATAAAACGACTGATATTGCGTGCAAACTCAGGCTCAAGGGATGTATCGTCTTCTAATACCTCCCCTAGCTTGTTGGCAACCTTATTTATCTGCCTGAGTGTTGTGGGCGTCTCAAAGTCGGAAGAGTTGTTGTGATATAACGGCGGCGGCGATGGTGTTGATGTGTAAATTGCAGCTCGTTGTTCAAGGGCCTCAATTACAGGCTGTGGATTGTAGGGTGAAATTCCAGTTTTTCGAAAGGCTGTGAGAATAGTAGTAGTCTTGAAAGCTTGTTTTCGTACAGCTTGAATGCAAGCAAGGAATTCAATCTTTGTAATATTCAACACGCCGTCTCGAACAATGATATCCAACGCCTTTGCATGATAATGCTTTAGTGGCTGAAATATCACAACATCAAGAGGTTGAAGGATGTGTGTAAGGTGCGAGGGCAACGCAAAGGGAATTATATCGTGCTGTTCGCAGTATTCAACGAATTCAATTGTATGGTGTGATCCGTGGCCATCTAGGATTAAAAGGCGATATCTGCCTATTGGCGTTGCAAATTCCTGAAAATGCTGTATCCAAGCAACTGCAATTTCGTCATTCGTAAAGCCGGTTGGTGAGACTGTTATTTTGGTATTAGCTTCAAGCTCCTTTATCCGATACCAGGACTCCATGTGTTTTTGCCCTGTAAGGATAAGAAAGGCAGGAATAACTTTGCCGCCAGCAGAAATGCATTCTATTGCTGTTGCAGTCTCCCTGTTTTCTGGCATTGAAAATAGATGCGCTCTTCTTCGCTTTGTAACAACTAAATGGTCCTTTCCCATTCCAATACGAAAGCCAGTCTCATCCATATTCCAGATATCTTCAGGAGGGACTCCGTACTGCTGAATAGCCTCTTTAAGCTTGTTGTAATAAGAAAGAGCTCTTGTCACATCTTCTGAAGCTTTTCGACTTGAATCAATCTTTTTTTGAAGACCTTTATGATAGTGATGCCGCTGGATAAAGCGTGTAGTCCATCGCGTTCCAACTTGCCTAGGCGGGGCAGTTGACGATGCCCTCTCTTTTAGGATGTAATTTGCAGCATCTGTAATGAATTCAGGTCGTACAGCGAAGTTGGCCTTATCAAGGCGATCGATATAGTTACATAAAGCAACTTCCTCTTCTCGTGAAAGCATTGTATTTCTTGCTGGATGGCCTTTCCTAGCAGGAACGCCGTTAGCACGTCGTTGAAGCCGGCTACGAGGCACGTTGAATTTCTTCGCCACAGAGCGAATTTTTGCACCTGGATTTTCCTCAATATACTCAAGAGCCTCGTTGACACGTAATTCGACATCGCTTTTTGCCGTTTGGACGCTAGTTGCAGCCATTTTCGCGGTTCAACGCGTCTAGGTTGAAAATTGGTCCGCCTTGGTGTCCGGCCCGCCTTGCTGTCGAGCACCACCTTTGGTGGTGAGGGCTTTTGCTAGCCGAACCACATAAAGTGGGGCGGGCACGATTAGGTTTGAGCCGGACCCTGGCACATTACCACCCCAACTCCGGTAGTGGGTGGCTAAGTCACATTGATCATGATGCCCCGTGCGCGAAGCCGGCTTCGCCCATTTACCTCCCAAGTAAACTTGTTCCATAGAGGGCATTGCGGGCCACCGGGGGAGCGTTTCGTCCGTTCAAGAGCTTTCATTTTGAAGCCGACAAGTCACTGCGGGCGACCACAGGTGATGCCACTGAAAACTGACTTCGCAAACTTGTGATTGACTGACTGCCCATGTTTGCGGACCTAGGGTCAAAGCAAACCGCCCTGGAAGTCATTGCCACCTAGTTGCACGCGGAGCAGGGAAAGCTAAAGTCAAGACAGAGAGAGAGAGCTATGGGAGCGGGAAGCTCACTCGCCGGGAGAGAGAGCGTTTGGGTCGCGTAGGTAGGATAACTAGCTTGTCCATCCCGACGGAGATTCAATGCAACGCTCACTCTCATGCCGTCTTCCGAAGATCTTAGGAGCACTTAAGTCCTCCATCGACTGCGGACAAGCTCGTGCAACACTTACTAGTTAGTCGCTGACGGGTAAGCAAAATTCCTGCTGGTGAAGCGCCAGGTTCACCACGTCCCCATCATGACTGGTTCCTGGTAGGACGGCTGGAGCCCAAATACTGGCGGACTACACCCCCACCATGGATAATACCGATACGTAGTAAAGTCGAGGCCGCCTGGGCATTCAAGCCATCTTGCGTAGATCCATTGCCAGCCAGCTCACCTCTTGGTCAAAACTTTGAGTCGTTTGCCTGCGGATCAGCAGCCCCAGCCGAATGGCCAACACTAGTTGGATAAGTCAGTGCGGGTACGAACTACACGAGGCGGCAAATTTGGGTTCATCATTCGAGACGAAGGTCCATCGTCCCCGCCCTACGAGTTCCATGTCTCGTTTCATTCTTCTAGTCCTTATCGTCTTTGGTGTGGTGAGGTTGAAGCTTCTCGTGGTTGCATATATTGTAAAGCGCTCGAGACCTTGAGTGTTGAGTTCCGTTGACCTTGATGGAGGAGTGGTTGGAACCAACCAAAATTGAAATCTAAAAAGGCTCTGTGGAACTGCAATCATCCAAGTGCCGCAGAAGAAGTCCGCGGGACTGTTGGCACAGGTGGATGAGCGTGCCAACTGGCCGGTCGCTCTTGCGTCCTTGGCTCTTGCCGATTCGCCACTCGACTAGGTATTGTACTGCACTCGTGGTTATGTAATTAAACGGACTTGGATGGACCAAAGGCTCGCATTCCTTCCTCTTTTGCCGGCATCTCATCGGTTTGCACTGAACCAGGGAACAACGGCAACAAACACCACCACAGCTTACTCTCCATAGCATCTCAGTCACGACACGCATCAAAGCCGAGTCGAAAGAAGGTCGAGCCGAGAGCGGCATTTGCTATTCCACATCCTGCGTCTAGAATCGGACCCTGTTTCATAACCCGCTTTCGAGCGAGGTTACCGCTAATCCCTGGTTTTCCCTGTTGAGAAGCTGGCAGCTGGCACTCATCCGATCCATCCGCTCCATCTGGGGCGGGCGCTGGAGCGGATCTTTGGCTGGGCCTTTTGTCGTCCGAGGGCGGCAGCGGAGACTGAGACTGCCTCACTTTTAGTAGTTGACTGCGATGCCCTTCACCCAACCTGACCAACAACATAGCCAACTACCAACACGGGCCAAAAACGAGACCTTCAACACAGTCTCGGTGCCACCTACCGCTTCCCATCGACTGCCGCAGCCTCAAGGATCCCGCCGTCCCATTTTGCTCATACACGCCCCCCTTCTACTGGTGGTCATCCTGGTCGACCTCGGAGAATCGTGCAGCGCTTGGCGTACATCCCACAGTGGCGCCGCGAAATTGGACCTCAGACAATGGTTACCGGCCAGGAGTGAGTGGCCCTGGCAAAGGTTTCTGCGACGATATATCAACCTCGCGTCTTGCATTTCGGCTGGTCAGCCAATTACCCATGCCACTTGGCCGCGAATGGGCTGTGCTGCCTCCCATCTGGCCTCCTCTCTCGCAAAGCCCTCCAACTCGGAAGTACAAAAACTAAACTAAATCTATATAGCACAACGCGCCGGCCTCTTCAGCTTGTGCCTGCTACACGCCCACTAAATTCAATCCTGTCGTGATACATCTGCGAGATGGCTGGCTTCGCGGCCTCTAGAAAAAAGCGCTGTGCGGAGCCAAGTCATGATTCTCGTACAGAATCTGCCATACCTTCACATCCACACTCTCCTCATCAGCGACCATCGAAGCGCCGGGCCCCTTCACCCGCTCCTAATCCACCGCCTTCACGGCATCTGTCGTGCTTATCTGACAACGACGCCTACGACCTGTTGCCCTTTGTGCCAACCATGGCCACCACATCGCCTTCAAACTACGGTCGCATCAATCCCGAAAACGAAACCAACTTGCAGCTGCTTGAGAGCATGCCAAGTGAAGTCAATCGTTACCGACAACGCATGTTGGTGAAAATGCCGGGCCAAAGTGGTGCTGCCGGTGATAACCAGCACCGTCATAGTATCTTTCGAGGTGTGTCTATACCTGATCACTTGCTTGCTTTGTCCCCGTATTTTGTCATCTTGTTTCCGAGACATATCCCTCATCATCTCCTCCTGTGCTCGTGCTTTTGCTACGTTTACGTGGACAAGATTTCAATATTGTAGTGGATGCCTAGCAAAGTCCGACAAGTATTTCACCTATTTCAGTTTGAATAACTGCATCACTGATGAGCGCGACATGTCTTTGTTCGAAAGAGAAACGAGTCAGCTAACAATTTCGCCGCAGACCAGCATTTCTCGTCAGAGAAAGCCTCTGAAAGCCTTGCTTCGGGACATAGCTTAAATTGGGGGGCAAACATATCCCCTCTTCTTAATCTGCCGCCAGAATTAATTGATTGCATTCTATCACACCTGTCTGCGACGGACCTCCCTGCTGTCGCGGCGACCTGTCGGAAGCTCCATAGACAAGCTATATCGGACATCCATTGGCTTCGATGTATCCAGCACAACGTGCCAGGTTTAACATTGACCAACCTTGCGCCTTGCAACAGCTTTTGGGAGCTTTACACTGCACATGATCCAATATGGTTTCTACCCAAGTATAAAATCTGGTTCTGTGACAGGGATTTAACGGGCAAGCTAATCGTTGTGCGCTTCGACCCACGGAGAGGCTGTATAGAAGGCTACCAATTGTTAGCCGTTAGCAATAGGAATACGTTCCAACAGTGGCCAACCGACAGCCAGGTCATCATTCACGGTTTTGAGCCAGAGGTTAAGCTGCATCTTGACAAGCCCGTCCTGCAATTTGATGTCCAAGACAGGCAGGAGACTGGAGATTTTCCTGCCAGACCCGGCGTTAACCGGTTTGCTTCCGAGAAGCCCATGGCGCGCGGAAATCGTTCAGATCCGATGTTCAGTAACTTCTTACTCACCCGGCCATTAGACCCTGAACAGGCGGACGAGAAACTTGCTGCTGACTACCCCTACGACCATGTTTGGCCGCCGCCGACTATTCCGGCTCGCCACCATGTGTCTTGCGCGAGATCTGGCCAGGCTGCCATCGATCTGTCGCCATATGATCGGCCCCGGTCTCGACGTGAGGTCTCTGATCAGACCTTCCGTATTCGGCAGTGGATGCAAATGCCAGGTACGCCGCCGCCGCCGAGCCTCGTAGGCGGCCAGCCCGGTAGCTTTGCAGGCCTGGTACAAGTCCTCAACAACTCGATAAACAATGTAAATAACGCCGTGCCAGCTGCTGGTGCTATGGGTGTTCACATTGGTGAAGAAGTCACCACGTACTCGACTCTCGACCCGGTTCTATACACACCGACAGCAACGAAGCCGTGGCGAGGTATATGGGTTGGCGATTACAGTGGCCACGGATGTGAATTTCTGCTCATTAACCAACCCGACGACCCTGACGTTACCGACGCAGAGCTTGGCCTGGTGCGAGATGCCGACGAGACGGAAGAAGCCTGGGAGAAGCGGAAAGGTGAAGCGCACATGTATCGTGGCCGACTAGAAGCAATCAAGTTGACAGGTGATCCCAACGTGCCGCGGGGCGAGTACACCTTCGTCGCTGATGATCTTGGTCCCGGAGGCTTTGTAGGGGTAGCCACGGACCCTCCTTTTGAGGGGACTCGGGTGGTGAAGAGCAAGGGACATGTTGCCGCAACGGGTTTTGTTCAAGGTAAGCAAATGGATGCCAAGGTCTTTCATTGGGGCCGTGCAACTCAGTATGCTGAGAAAAGCTACCCGTGTCAGATGACTAATGACTAACCATACTGGCAATACAGACAAGTATATCGAAAGTCAACTCTTGCTCATTGGGCCAAATCGGCTGGCCCAGTATTGGGTTGGCTTTGGCCATATTAGTTTCTTCGAGAGGGTTCAAATCGACGACTTCCTTGTACCATGATGGACGTAGTGAGCATCTTCCACAGAGGGGCCTTTTTGCCGCGGCTGGTATAGGGGAAGAGCAACCGTTTTTCGCCGCTTCCGCCTTGGAACTGATGGGAGGTTAAGACTCTTGCAGGGTTCTCGGTTAAACGAATTGATTTGTTGGAACACTTGCAGGTACCGGATTTTTTGCTCTGTCAACCTCCATAGGAATAAAACTAATATCAAAATCAATTATTCAGTAGAGACCATCTCAGCAATGATTGCTCGATTTTAAGCATTCCGTAAGACCTGATAGAAGCAAAGTATTAAGAAATGGGAATGCGTGTCGGGCAGTGTGTGTGTGTGTGTGTGTGTGTGTGTATTTAACGCCTTGGTTGGGGTTAATCCCTGCTCCGGTCGGAGCATCAGGCGTGCTATCGCTATACTAGGTACATGTAGCAGCTCTTAGCTGTCCTCTTTTTTAGGACAGCAGAGATGTTTTGTCCTCCTTTCTCTGTCAGCAGGTACTTGCAGGGGGCTTAAGGCGTAGTTATAGGCTTGTCCTCCTAGACAGCTGAGTGTTGTTATAAGCAGGCGTTAGCCTGTAGTTAGTACAAAAGAAAAGAAAGCAAATATAAAGAGAGAAATAAAAATAGTGCTCCTAGCCTTCTAGCATGCTGTCCTTATCTAGGGTATATCTTGCTAAAGAAAGATGTATCTTTAATAAGAGCAGTAAAGCGCTTAAAGTCTAAAGCAAGAGCTAACTTAATAGCTGCCTTAGGGGAGGGTTTTAGCGGAACTCTCCTCCTTAGCAATATCTTGTAGCAATAAAAGGGGTGGGTTTAGTGCTTCTTTCTGCTATAGAAATAGTAGTAATTAGTAATATAGCTAAACCTATTGTAGTAGGCTGTAAAGTCTTTATACTCTGTTCTAGCTGCAAGTAAGTACGCTAGATTCTCCCTTGTAAGGACGAGTTTATAGGGGTTACTTATCTTAGCTTTAAGCCCTAGTAGTTAGTAGGTAGAGAGGAGGTAAGCTTCCCTCTATTCTTAGAACTATCTAGTAGTATTTTCCTTTGCTCTATACTTAACGTAAGCAAAGATTAGGGGAGTAGAAGCTAATTCTAAGAGTTAGGCACTCTTCTTAGCAAGCTAGTCTGCTTGCTTATTGCCTAGAATATTAAAGTAGCTAGGGATTTAGTAAATAAATACCCTGCTATTCTTTAGGGCTAGTTCTTTAAATTCTATAAAGACATTCTAGGAACTATCTAAAGGGATGCTAGCAAAGCAAGTTGCTACAGCCTAATTGTCTAGGAGGACTCTAATTTTATTATTAAGGCCTGTCTTATAAGGCAGAGCAGCATAAAGCCTCTAAAGAGCTTCTACTGCTTTTATATTAAAGACTTCTGCTTAGTTAATCTATCTATTGCTAAAGGAAATCTTAGTATTATTTTAGAAGATAGTGTATCTCTAGCTATAGACTCTATTCTAGAGTTTAGAGCTGTTAGAGTACACTACTAAGTCTATAGAGTTAAGAGACTCTATCTATTTAAGCAGTTTACCTGCGTCTTTAGTTTTGTCTTCTAAGCCTCTTATAAGCTTTAGGGGCTTGCTCTTCTCTAGGAGTTTAGGGCAGGAGCAGTATAAAAGGAGATTTTAGCGTTACTAAAATCTTAATAGTTATTAGAACCTTTAGTAGTCTAGGCTACTAAAGATTTATAAGTCTGCTTTAATAGCAAGAGAGTAATCCCTATTAAGCTGCTATAATTAAACTATAGAGGAGATTCTAATGTATTCTGTTATAAGAGTTGCTAGTAGAAGCCTAGCCTCTCTATAGAGGACAAGTAAGGGGGTTGTTTGCTAGACTAAAAGAATAGCTTAAGCTATAGCCTTTACTGTTCTATTTATTCTAGTTACTAAACCTATAATGCTTATGCTAACCTTAGCTCTTGTCTTTTGTCCTAGTAGAGTGCGTTTAAAGTACTAGACTTTAAGCCTATAGTATAGCGTAGGTTCTATGCACGCCTTTACTGCCTTCTAAACTAAGTTAGGTAGAGAACTGTGTTTTGTATTAGTAAGGGATTTTAGATAGAAGGCTGTTCTGTAAGCCTTTCCGGCCTATTTTTTAACGTAAGCGCAAAAAGTAAGCTTGCAGTCTAGCTAGACGCTAAGCTACCTTAGGCTATTCTTAAGTTAGATATTCTATCTCTTGTGTTTAATAGAGAGCTATTAGGGGTTCTATTGTCTTGTAAAGTGTAAGACCTCTATCTTCTTTACGTTAAAGTTAATAGCGTTCTTAGCGCTCTAGCTTTTAAGTTATTAAATGCCTCTATTAGCAGCTGCTGTAGTTCTATTAAGTAAGTTGTCTATAGAGAGTAAGGCGTTATTATCTGTATACTTATACTAGAATCTATGTCTTAATAGCAAGTAAATAGATGCAGTATATAGAAGGAATAGTATAGAGAAGGCTAGTAAGCCTTATAGTGCTCTGCATTCTAGGGGGGAAGCCTCTCCCTAGTAGTTGTCTATATACACTCTATAGCTGTAATATGCTATAAAGGTCTCTGTCTACTTTAGGACAGGCAGAGGCTAACCTTATTTCCTTATGCAGCTAATAAGTCTATTAACTAGTACAGCATTAAAGGCTTCTTTAACGTCTATAGTAACTAAAGTAGCTACTTTGCTGTCTTCTAGAGCGACTTTAATATTATATACTAGTGCTAAGACTAAGTTATTTGCTAATCGCTTTAGGAGAGCTCCTGCCTATCTATTGCTAAGGACTTTATGCTTAATAGTAAGGTAGAACACCTGCTAAGCGAAGAGTCTATTAATGCCCTTTTCTACGCAGGAGGTAAGAGATATAGAGCAGTAAGAGCCTGCGCTTAAGAGGTTAGTCTTGCCTAGCTTAACTATTATAACTACTTCTGCATAGCAGAAGGGGGCAGGATAGTAGCTAAGCCTAAGAGAGGATTTGTAAATAAGTCTAACTATAAGTCTAATAACTAGCTAGGCTAGTCTAAGAATATTGACACTAATCTTGTTAATGCCTAGAGAGGTATTGCCTGTAGAACAAGCAGTATGTTTAGCCTCTACTAGTAAGATAGAGGTGCAAAAAGAAATGTTCTATCTAGGAATAGTAGGGATTCCTCCTCTAGAGTAGTTGTTACTAGATCTAACTCTATAGAGTTCTACTGCTTAAAGTTCTTTAGCTTTCTTGCTAGGTATATTATAGGTTTTGCCCTAGAATACTAGGCTAGAAGGTTAGAAGTTAGCTATAGTTCTGTAAGCCTACTTAGCAATAGCAAAAATCTCTTTATTAGTTGTTGCCTAGTCTATCTTCTCTAACTAAAAGGCTCTTTTAGCTGCTTAAACAGCTTATTAAAATGCTTTTCTCTTCTTAGTAATATCTAAGTAAGTGCGCTGTTTTGCTAGCAGCTCTTAGTGTAGGCAACTATAGTTGTTGTTCTACTAGACCTTAAAATTTCCCTTGCCCCTAGAGATCCTGCCTGCCTAGTAGAGAGAGAATATAAGAGTGTAGGTTGTTTGCTCTGCTAGCTAGTCTAGTTTGCTAGTGTCCCTAATAGTTATAAGCAGGAACTTAATCTTAGTAGTAAGGATTTCAATAAATTATTCCTCTTCTTGAGAGTTTGTTATTATATAAGCGCAGGTAGAATACTTAGAGGCAATCTCTCTAGGGATAGTAATTAGAAGGGGGAGGTAATCTAAGGCATAGTGTATATCCTTAGCAATACTAAGGGAGCAATAAGAGATGTTTAAGTATGTAAGGTCTAGGACCCCTCCTAGGTTATAGGTAGATATATCTAGAGTGTTTAGAAGAGTTATTAAGTAGGCATTAGCTTAGTCTACTATATTCTCTCCTTAGTTTTATTAAGTGCTAAATTGCTACATTTTGTAGCTAGCATTAAAGTTACTAGCTACTATAGTAGAGCCTATTAGTAACTATATAAGAAGTTCTCCTAGTGCCTCTATATCCTAAGGTTTTTAGTAGAAGTTTACTAGAGTGTATTTAAGTACTCTAATCTAGATTAAATGTTAGGAGTTAGAGTAGGGGAGTTGTATTAAGGGGAGATTAGCTTTAATATAAGAGATTACTCTAGAGCAGGTTTTAAGGGAGTCCTATAGAGCTGGGGGTTTATAGGCTTTATAGAGAGAGTGACTTTTAATATACTGCTGCTCTTTCCTCTAGTTAGTATATCGGCCAATTAAGGGACCCTTTATATATAGTATAGGTATAATAGATAGAGCTTATATAATCTAGTTGATTACTA